TGAGTAATTGAGGGAAGAAGTGTTGATTTAGATTAACATTTGTTCTTTTCAGTTTGAAATGCTTACTGGTACACTACCATTTCAAGGTAAAGATCGAAATGAAACTATGAATATGATACTGAAGTAAGTATATCTTTTTACTTTTTGGAAAGTCAGAAAATGTAATTTTAAATATGTTTTAACAGCTTGTTATAAATTCTTGTGCTTGAAGAGCATTAAGCTAGAACAGGGACAAAATAGCCAAGTCCCCCCCACCCCCCCAATAGGATTTAGATCTCAGACCGTGCAAATACTATTAAGTATCTACAGGAATTAAAAAATCTTAGGGGTGAACTTGTATTTTCATTGTAGGTGTATAATAAAGATAAAACCAGTACAGTAAATTAGACTAGCATTATTTACTGCTCTTGTTGTTGTTATACTCTCTTGCTACTGTTACAACATAGCTTGTTTTGTAAGCAATAGTTAATCAGGTGTTGCTTTGTGTACATATCTCTGGAGAGTGCACTTATGTGCTCATATTTTTCATATTGAATTACCTCAGTTACAACAGAAGCTGTCTAAGAAGACAAACTGGGTAAGCTGGTGATTAGTAAGTGAAGTTATTGGGCAAATATGTTCTCATCTTTATTTGTGCTTAGCTAACAAAGAATTTCCTTTAAACCACATGCGGAGCCTTGGGCCTTTTGAGGGGGTGATAGTCAGGGAAGGGGATAAGAGAGAAGCTCTGTCCTTACCAACATATGGCAGTTTGAACTTACTCAGAGTAGGAGTTTATAGTGCTATTACCTGTGAAAGCGGATGGATTAGATCACTAGCCTCGCTTGGAGCTCTAAGTGATGCTGCAGTTCTGCAGGAGAATTTCTTGCCTTAGCCTAATTGTTTTTATAAAATCAGCTTGGTAAAGTCAGTAAGCTTTCATATGATGGCTTAATGAGCTGCTACTTGAGGCTCTTGATTCAAAAGGAATGTTGTTAATCTCTTCATGGACAAGTAATTTGGGATTTGGTGAGTCTCTTCTGGCATTGATTCTGATAGAGGTATTTTGGTGATATATCTTCATGTCACCAGGAAGTTCTTTGAAAATACTTATGTATTCCTGAGATAAGTTTTACTCTATTTTAGCATAAAGCTTGTTTTGGGGGCTTGGGGGAGGCTGGGGTTTTTAGTCTGGTGTGGTTTGGTTTTTTTGTTTTGTTTGGGGGTGTGGTTGGTGTTTTGTGTGTGTTTTTTGTGTGTCTTTTTTTTTTCTTTGAAAACCATTCATATAATGTGAAATGTAAACTGATGAGGTGAATGTATACGCTCTGCAAGACTTTGGAATAGATCCTTGATGCATCAAATTGTGCAATGAAGTCTATGTAGACAATTTTTAGTAAGATATATTTCTTTCTCTTACTTGTCCTCTGTTTTCCTTCAGAGCAAAACTTGGAATGCCTCAGTTCCTCAGCCCTGAGGCACAAAGTCTTCTGAGGATGTTGTTTAAAAGGAATCCATCAAATAGATTAGGTTAGTTCATTTATTTGGATCTTTGAAATAAAAATAGTTGATTATTTAAAGAAAGTAGTTGCTAGAGACTCTCAAGCTCCAGATGGTTAGTGAGACTTGCGGTTAGATACCATTTCTTGTTAGCTTGGATTATGACTTCCTGGGTTTGGCTAATGAATGATTACTTTCTTAGACTAGTGACTCTTAGCAATGAGCCAAAGCTTTGACATTGTCAGAGGAAAGAATACTGACTCTGTACTTATGGGCAGCTTGTACTCTATTTACTCTGTTTGCCTCCCTGATGAGGTGTACACTACTTAATTGAGTATTTGGCATCCTTGGAATATTTCTGTATTGACAATTCCTTCAAATAATCATGTCTATGCAAATTTTTTAGAAATGAACTAATTTTTAGTGCAATCTTCTTCCCAAGACTTTACCCAAAAGTGTTTTAATTACGGTATTTTCTTTGTTCAGGAGCTGGTTCAGATGGAGTTGAAGAAATCAAGAGACATCCTTTTTTTTCTACTGTTGACTGGAATGTAAGTACAAAATTATCTGAATGATAAAGCTGTTCATAATTTTTCTATGTGTTGTAGCCTTATAAGTATTTACATCTGAATAGGGCACAATAAACACTGCAGTAGCACTGACTTACTTTCTGGCTTCTACTATAATATGGCTTGGCATCTGGAGCTTTAGTATTTATAGTATCAAGAGTATTAATTATAAATTGTACATTTACTTTTTAAATAATTAAGAGTTGTTGCAGCATTCTAAAGCGTAAATTGTCTGTTAGAGCATTTGTAGTTAGAAGAGGATGCTGGTGTCCCCTATGTGCAAGAATCCTTCTCTTCAGTAAGTGTCCGTGTAGTGCTTCCATGCAGGGCACAAAAACTCACTGTGACTGTAATTCTCTTTGACTTCTCTCTAGTTAGCCACAGCACATTGCTATTTTATCAGTCATGTTCCATGCACAGTTAAAGTATTGACTCTGGTGCTCCGAGATGATCAGAAGTCTGTACGAGTTCATGATTGCTCACTTAAGTTTTTGGCAAGCACCTTGATGCTTTTCCTTTGTGCTTCTCTGATCTTTTGGGAGATGTTTCCCAGAAACATTCTCAAAACCAAGATGCTCTGTATCAAATAAATCCACTCTGACAACACTCATTTGCTATAATGCCTGGACACAATAGACAGGATAAATAAGATGTTGTGATGACAGGACTACCTGCAATGCTAGCCAATACTGTGCTGAACTGTTTCTTTCAAGTCTGTTATTATCCTTCTCTTTATCTCTTGTATTTACTTCTGAGAAGGTGGTTTTCTAGCTGTGTTTATGCAGCATCTACCATAGAGTCCTGATCAGCAAGTAGAGTTTTCAGTAACAGCAAAAGTTCACTGTTTTATGTGAGTACTCTTCATAAGAGAAGGCTGTGTTGTTGTGGCTTGATTATCTATGTTTTTTTTTAAGGGACTGATGTTGAAATAAATACCAGCAAGGAAGTTTGAAAGATCTTCAGTTCTAACTCTTTTCTTAAATTATTTGACAGTGCTTAGTATTTAGTTCACTATGGTGATGGTGATGACCACTTCTGTAACTTATCTTATTATTTCTTTGGGATTAATTCAGGTCACTCTTCCTTTTTCTTACTTTTTTTTTAATTGAAATATGTTGCATATTCTTGTGCAGGAAGATTAAATAAAAAATAGCTCTGAAAGTATGAGAGAAATGCTGAGGAAATGTTCTCGGAACTTCCTGAACTTTTGCATGGAGCTTTGAGATCATTTGACATGAAATTTTCCTTAACTGTAGATGGGACTTACTGCTGATTTGAGCAATTGGGCAATGCAATTTTGGGCAATGCATGTTGAGTAAAGGAAAAAAAGGAGGAGGAGCCATTGTTCTGCTCTCCCTTCTTTCCCCCTGACTTGGTTTAGTAGATTAGGAAAAACCTGGTATAGAGCTTTGAGAATTGGCAGTTCCTTGCCAAGAGGGAAATGCCTGTCACTCGTGAGAGGTCTTTGTCCGGGACCGAGAACAGAAAGGTTAAGACTGTATTCCATATCTTCCCTTTGGGGTGGGTTTTTCAGGGTTCTGACAAAACAGCAGTGAACCAGGTCTGAGACAATGATGGAAGGTAAGATGTGCTATGGCTGTTCCATGTTCTTCTGAATAAGCCGAAGATGAACTACTGATCAGTAGCAGCCTGCAGTTGTAGTCTTAAAAGTACAGATCTGATAGATGAGGCAGATTCAGAAGAATAAGTAAAAAGAACTCTTTTTTGTTGGACCTGTTTGATAACATTTCCTGTAGCATTTCATATCAAAGGTACATGAGAGTAACTCAGTCTTTCCAAATGTATTTGTGATTTTCTACTTGCTATGTGTTACTGACTCTTTCAGAAAATGCTTTAGTACAACAATAGCATTTGAGTTGCTTACCCTTTAGTTTGGCAAAGTTACAGCACCCATGGAAGTTTCATTCATTCTTAATTGTATGACTTTCTCCTTCTACTTTAGAAACTGTTCAGAAGAGAAATTCAACCCCCATTTAAACCTGCTTCTGGAAAGCCAGAAGATACCTTTTGTTTTGATCCAGAGTTCACAGCAAAAACACCAAAAGGTAATTGTGCATGGATATGAATTGGTGAGGTTCATGGGACAAGAGGGGTCAAATTAATGTTACAACAACAAGCTTACTAAGAGAAAAAGCCAGTGACAAAATTGAAAGGGTGCAGCAGGGTTCCAGTACTCTGAAGGGCTGTGTTCTCCTTGGCGAGTTTCTATTCTTTGAAATATTCTGCTAAACTTTGATTCACCACCAAAAAAAAAAAATAATTAACAGCTGAATTACTATTTCTGTTTATGGTTTAAAGTCAGACCGGCAGTGTTTGGTGAGGGGCAAGTATTTAATACTAAAAGTAAATTAAATTTGGTTGCAGCAGTGATTGTTTTAAGGGTCACTATTCCACTGAAATGACTTGCTTTAACTTTCTTGAGCCTATGAACTATTAAACTTGAAAACTAGCATTATAATCATTTTTTCATTGAGCTGTTCCCCTCACTACCCACGCTGAATTTGACTTTACTCTTGAGAAAACGGTGATTCAAAGGTAGAGAAGAGTGGGGAAGATGTATGGTGGACTAGATACCTAAACTACTAGATCAGTTGCAAAGACATCTCAAATAGTTCGAGAAGCTTATGAAAACGTGTCTTGAAAATATCCCTTGGATTATTGCACTACGAAAATTTCCAAGTAACTGCACTTGGAAACAAAGACAGCAAGTGCAAACACTTGTTGCTTAGTATGCTTCAAATTTCACTTCAGGTTTTCTTTTGTGAATTTTTTTCTGTACTGCTGCATCCAACTTTTAAAACCACTTGTCCTGTTTGTTTGTAGGATGTCTGTGGTTCTAATAGGCTACACAGAATTATCAAGCTGTCATTACTGTGAGATTTCAAACAGTGAATTCAGAGTGGCACATAATATAATATGAGGAATATTTGGTTCTAATTATTCAGTAGTATTACTAATTGAATATTCTTGTATTGTCTGACTTCTGCCTTGCCAGCAGCACACATATCCCTGAAGTAGCAAAATCTGTCGGTGCTCTTCTTTGTTATGCAGTCCTTGAACATAAGACTGTGATCTTTTTTTTCTCATAAGTAGTGTCGTGCTTCAATAAACTTCTTCCTAGAAAGTTATATTCATACATTAGTTCCTGCAGTGTTTTGCAGCTTTAGATAAACCCAAGGAATACTTGCTTTGTGTTTATTATTGAAATAAGACAGATAACTAACTAGAAGTCTTATTCAACATCTGGTGTTACTCGTTTACTTCCCTTCCCTCAAAGTGTTTCTTCTGACATATCTCTGCTGAATGTGAAAAAATAGCCTTGCTGGGATTTAGCCATGCTAATCAAATGTGTATGCCACTAGATTCCCCAGGAGTCCCACCTAGTGCGAACGCACATCAGCTCTTCAAAGGATTTAGTTTTGTTGCAGCTACTACTGTAGAAGATCATAAAATATCACCACTCACTAATATACTGCCGATAGTACAGGTAACAGTTTATTTTTTGGGAAACTTTTTTGACGTGCCAAAGATTGACCAATATTTAGTTTTTACAGACTGTTCTTTTTTGTTGGGGAGAGTATTATAAAATGTGCATTACTAAAATGCTTCCATGGGATATTTTTAAATTTAAAAGTGAGTTGCTGTTTTTCTGGAGGCAGAATTCAAAAGAGAAAGCATGGGCAAGCAGAAGAAACTTCTGCTGTTGGAAACAGTATTATGGCAAAGAGCATCTTGTTGCTTTAGGTGACAGCTTGTACGTGTTTGTTTTTTAAAGCAACTTCATGGGAACAGCGCACAGTTTACTGATGTATATGAACTGAAGGAAGATATTGGTGTTGGTTCCTACTCTGTTTGCAAGCGATGTATACACATAGCTACAAACATGGAGTTTGCCGTAAAGGTACTTTGAATAAATTTCATTGTGACAGTTCTGAAATTATTGTGTAGTAGATTTCTAAATTTAAATGCATGAATTTTCCAGTTACTGTCGCTGTTTGTGTGCTATGAGAAATGGAAAACAGTATTTTCTTCATTTGTTGAATTTGTGTATTGGCTTCTATAGCTCTTTTTGTGGGTGAGGTTATGGTCTTGAAGTACTGGCTTTGCAATTATAATCTTGAAGCCTGAGAATGCTGTATGATGATGAGAACACCTGAAATAAAATAAGGTCCACAAGGGTGGAACTGGGCTGCAGGGAATTGGTGATGCTTCAGACAATCCATTGCATTTCTTTGTCTGTTGGAGCAGAATAGACTGCGGTGATGACATAACTTTAACTGGTAGCAAGGACAGAGCAAGAAATGAATAAACATTGGGATGTGAGGCTGGAAGATGGATTAGTCATGGTTAGTAAGAAGTAATGAAGTCTAGAAATTTTTTTTATTCTGTTGAAGTGAGAATATAAATACAAAAAGAATTCTTTATTAAGTAGACTTTGTTTAGCCAAGTTGTTTTTCCTGTTGCTATATTTTGCAGATAATTGATAAAAGTAAGAGGGATCCCTCAGAAGAAATTGAGATTCTCATGCGTTATGGACAACATCCAAATATTATTACTTTGAAGGATGTATGTACCTCTTTTTCTCTGCTACCTCTTATTACGCAGTAGTCAATAAATAAATATACATGTAGGGAGTTTATTGGGATTAATTAAATTTCTTTTGCATAGTAAAATATATTGGGAGAGCAGTACATATAATAAAGTGATGAATATTTCAAAATATCACGTTGTCCTGATAATATTTTTTTCTAAAGGCTGTTTAACGAACTTGAAGTGAGAAATGATGTAAAGGTTAGAAATGCCGTATTTCTTCTTATTTCAAATGAGTATGTAATGTGTTGGTAATCTGAATCTGAAAAAAGTAGTTGCATGTTGTCCTGTATATGCAAAGTGCCAGCAGCTAAAAATTCTTCATGGAGGGGAAGAGCAGTAGGGAGTGGTAGGGCTACTCTCCTCTTACAACAGAAGTTCCTAGACCGAAAAATTTAATTCGGAGTCATGAATTAACAATCAATTACCTCAGCATCTCACAGAATGACACGTAAGCTTATACTTCATGCTTTAAGGCTCCTGAATTGCAGAATTAAATTTGACAGTCCCTGCTGTTTGTGCTTTATGTTCATATGTGAATAAGTTGAACAATCTAGCCTGTAATTTTCATTTATCAGGATGTATAGTTATAGATTATATTTTTTTAATAGATATGTGTGTATTTATATATGTCTGCACTTGTTAAACTTCTCATCAGGTGTATGATGATGGTAGATTTATATACCTTGTCACTGAACTCATGAAAGGGGGAGAGCTGCTTGACCGAATTCTCAGGCAGAAGTTCTTCTCTGAACGAGAGGCTAGTGCTGTATTATACACTATAACCAAGACTGTGGACTACCTGCACTGCCAAGGAGTGAGTGATTTCTTCTCTAACATAGCTTCTTTCACATTTCTTAGAATAAACAAATGCCTTTTGTTATGTGCTTTGACTGGCTTGTTTTTATGGCAGAAAGGAAGAAGATTTTTGAGTATTTTATGACAAAGGTGAATAATAGAACTAACTCATCCTGTTATTCTGGCAAGCCCTTCTGATTCTACTTTTACAGTTTATGAAACAGCAGATATTTGTTCTTATGCTTGTTGGCAAATGATTGTTAGTTTGAGTTGCATTATGAACCAGTAGGCTTTTTTTATGACACACTTGAACTAGAATTTTGTGTTAATTGAAAGTTACATAATTGTGTAGAACTGTTAGTAAGTAAGTATATTAATCTAGAGAATCGCTTTTATAAACTGCAAATTACGTACAAATAAATGTACATGCAACTTCTAAATGATTGATTTTTGATTTTTTTTGTTTAAAGGTAGTGCATCGAGACCTTAAACCTAGTAATATTTTATATACGGATGATTCAAATAATGCTGATTCTATCAGGATTTGTGATTTTGGATTTGCCAAACAACTTAGAGGAGAAAATGGACTACTTCTAACTCCGTGCTACACTGCAAACTTTGTGGCACCAGAGGTATCTTAAGCGGCCGTGGGTTTTCTCTATGCTGTTTTTGCTGCATCAAGTACTTAAACATTTTAGCAGTGCTTAAAAAAAAAAAAAGTTCTGCTGGTTTTCCTTTAATATAATTACACATACTTCATAAACATTGATGCATATGTTTATTATAAACCTGCTTTAAAAATAGCAGAATCCACCCTCAAAAATGAGACGTAAACCTTTTGAGAATCTTAAGAGATGATGTTCTGGGAACAAGAAATATTGTTGATAGTTACTATAACCAGTATACTGAAAAATAAATAACCAAACTGCTGGAATTTTCCTGGGATTGACTTATCCTTCCTTAGGCCACATAGTGGTATCGGTTTGGGGTGTTCTTTTCATATACTAAAAAGTCTTTAACGCTCTTTGTTTTATAGGTTCTCATGAGACAAGGATATGATGCTGCTTGTGACATATGGAGCTTGGGTGTTCTTCTTTACACAATGTTGGCAGGGTGAGAACTATTTCTTAGCTTTTCTTGTTTACCTAAAATTCCAGCATGCTGCATGAATCCATGCTTTCATTAAAATTGTAAGGTATTACCTCATTGATTTGAATGCAGAATAACAAAGATGCTGAAGTGGAATAGGAAGCTATAAGTAAATGCATATATAAACTAGGCTTATCTTACAGGTAGGTTCAAGGCTTCTGTCTTCTATACTGCATAACTGGGAGATGCCAAAGTCTGTCCCCGAGCTTATCTTACAGGTAGGTTCAAGGCTTCTCTCTTCTATACTGCGTAACTGGGAGATGCCAAAGTCTGTCCCCGGTTTCCAGGAGAGAATTTAGTCTGTGAGAGTATGTGGTGGTTTTCTGCCCCTTGTCCTTCCCACCCTAGAACCCTTGCAGTCCACCTTCTTGTATCTCCTGCCACAGGTTTGTCTCCTGGCCCTTTTGTAGAACACAGTGACTTGTGACCTCTTAATTTTTCTAACCCTCTAAACTTCCATTAAGCACTGTGAAGTGCTTAGTGGCCGAATGATAAGAGGTTTCCTGAATTGTGCTTTAACAAAAAAATAGCAGGTTTTTTGTCTTATAGATAAACACTATCTATTGGAGACTCTTCCTCTCGATAAGTTTGTACTTCTTCATGTAAAATCACCACCACCACTACAGTTCTGCCACCAAAACTCAGACTGCTGTATGATTTAAGTGCAAGTATGCAGATATTGGGCAGTATACTACCTACACACTTGAGAAACATTGTCTGAACAAAAAGTAGGGCAGGTCGAAAGTATGGGGGAGGAATGGTCCAGCATGAATTCTTATCTTTCTATTTTGTTCCTGTTAAGCTCATCAACTGAAGACTAGAACTTACTGGCTGGGATAGTTCCTAGACCTCTGTTGATGATGCTGGTTGATCTTCTCCTATGCAGAGCTTTCAAAGTACTAAGATAGAACGCATTAAGCTTAATTATTATTGTTTGCAAGTTAATTTGAAATCTAAGGGGTGTTACGATGTAACTCTTAGAGTAAGTTTGGGTTTTATAGTTAAAACTAACTTGGTACTAGCCTATGATCTTAGGAGATGCCAGAACATCGTAATGCTCTTATTGTTAAAAGGTGTATTTAAGTGATTTGGACTGGTTTACAGATTTGCCACTTTAGTTCTTTTGAGTTGTCACAGTAGGATTTGTAGAAAGTAAGCCAAACTTACAGGAAACCCTGTAAACTCATATAAGCCTCCAAAACCAATGATCTTGTGATTTAAACCTCCCAGAGTCACTTAAGTAAAAAAACTATCATGAAAATTTTCTTGTAGCTTTTCCTTTCTTGTAGCTGTGTACGTTGTGCTCATTCCCTAGCTAATTAAATGCACATACCCTAAACATGATATTACTCCAGCTTTATTGGGCCATTCTGTTAGGCTACTGTCCAGCTTTGTATTACTTTAGATGCTCTGGTAATCCAGCATAATTTGTGTTTATGAATCACTTCTATTTAACTTGAAAGTCTGCACTGATTAGAACGCATTCTTCAGATACTAGCTTAAGGCATCTTTTTAGTCTGCATTTCCCATTTATATTCTACTTGATGAATCACAATTATAGGGAAAAGAAAATAATATAGTTTTGAAGATGAAATGCTAACATAAAAAGAATTTAAAAGTATATAGTGTGTTTCTGTTGGCAGTGGGATATCTACTCAGGATTCATGAGATCTTACCAGTTTCTGGCAGCTTCTTACCTATTGTTTTGCTTTTTCTTTCGACAGCTATACTCCATTCGCCAATGGTCCTAATGATACTCCTGAGGAGATCCTGGTACGGATAGGCAGTGGAAAATTCTCTTTAAGTGGAGGCAACTGGGACACTGTTTCAGATGCAGCAAAGGTGTAAAAGTGTTTTGTTTTGTTCTTATATTTTTTGCAAGAATTCAAATTAACATCTACTGAACTCTATAAAATTAACTAGTCTAACACAGTAGATTGCTATTATTACCTGCAAACTTTATTGCAATAATGAAGGTCATCTAGTCCAACCTCCTGCTTAAAGCAGGGTCAGTTATGAGATCTGACCAGGTAGCTCGGGGCTTTATTCAGTCCGACTTTAGAAACCTCCAAGGGTGGAGATTGAACAGCCTACCTGGGCAGCCTTTTCCAATGCCTGGCTGCTGTAATGAGGAAAAAGCTTCTCCTAGTTTCAAGCCGGAACATCTCTTACTTTACTTTGTCCTCTGTCTTCGTTCCTTTAGCTGTGCTCATTAAAGGCATGTCAGCTGCCTTGGATGCCAGGTCACACTGATAGTTCAGGTTTAGTTTGCTGCCTACCAAAACCTCCTGGTCCTTCTCAGCGAAGCTAGTCCCCAGCCAGTCAGTTCCCACCCTGTACCTTGGCTACAATTTCTTCCTTTCCAAGCACAGGACTTTGCATTTGTCCTTGCTGAATTTTGTCTGGCTCTGGTTAGCCCGTTACTCCATCCTGCCTGGGTCCCTTTGGGTGGCTGCCCTGCCCTTGGACTCTTTAGCTCTTTCCCCACACCGCCAGTTTGGTGCCCCACTGCAAACTAGGCAAGAGTGCACTCTCTTCCTTCCCCCAGGTCACTGATAAAGATTTTAAATGATAGGTCCAATATAGGCTTTTCTAATCATCAGTAGTTTTTTTATTCCTTATTTTTATTGGATCAAAATCAGGTGTTTCTGGGATTCCTTAAATGGAAGGGTGACTTTTTACAATTATCTGTTAGTTGTAGTAGCTAACCAGTCTTGCATTAATTTTTCTGTAGTGCAGTTTCTTAAATGTTGTTCAACGCTGAAGTCATCAGGTCTTTTGTCTTTGTTAGTACTTTCAGCAATTCAACTAGTCCTTTAACAACCAAATATATCTGGTATCTTGCCAAAAGTCTTGATCAGCCTGATTATGCAGCTGTCCTTTTTATTTAAAGACTGCTGCTCTCATCAGTTGCTGTATGTGTTTGCTGGGTTTGGTGTTGGCCTGGTCTGTAGGTATCTTAGTCACCAGTGTTACCTTTTATAAAGCTTGGCATTAATACTAAATCTTTTCCTGATCCTTTGGAACTGCACTATTTGTTCATTTCAGTAGGAGTGATTAGAATACTTGTTGGCTGATGCTGTCTTAGCATAAGTAACTAACTTCTGTATATTGAAGAATGCCTAACATTTTGTACCTAAAACAAAGGGAACATTCTGTCAACTTGTTCATATTTTGTTTTCTTTGAAGCTATTCCTGTCTCTGTTCTGTGGCCTTCCCACCCAGCTCTTCTTTTGACCAATGTAATTAGTAGCTTATTGCTAATGCTTCTAAACAGGCAAAACCAACTGTCTCTTTCTGTTGGCTTTACTCTTTATATAGGTCCTTGAAGGAAAAATTCTTTGACAGTGTATCACTATATATGAATTCAATTGTAATATGTAGTCAGGAGGCCCCAAATGTGTAGTGTGAAGGAGAAGTTTGCGAGTAATAACTTTCTTCCGTAAAATCTGCCTGCTAAATTTTAATAGGATTTCTAGTCTTTTAAAGATAATAATGAACAAACTGAAATATGAAACACACAAACAACACTAAGTTTATTTACAATAAAGGCTTACTCTGTTAAACTGATTAAATAGTACAACACATTGTTTTCAGGCTTCTGCAGTGTCAAGGCACAGAATGATCCAATTTATCTGCTGCTTTTTGCATGTGTGTGTTTGCATTGTGTTAATCCTTGCCACACAGGGTACTTTTGTCATTGCTGCCATAATTAATGCTTTAAAGTCTGTATAAGATTATTTTAACTGAATAATATGTGTGGCTTTCCTTTTTATCTAGGACTTGTTATCACATATGCTTCATGTAGATCCACATCAGCGGTATACAGCAGAGCAAGTATTAAAACATTCGTGGATAGCCTGTAGGGACCAGTTGCCGCATTATCAACTAAACAGGCAAGATGCACCACATCTAGTAAAGGTAAAACAACCTGAAGGCTGAATGTTGCTTGAGCTGGTGGATGCGCAATGAATTGGGTTGCTTTTGGAGCTACAGGCAGAACTCATTTTTTTTCTGTAGAAAAGAAATTAACTTTCGTTTTCCCTGGTACGTAATATTTAAGTTACATAATCAGACAAATTATTGGTAAAATGATTTTTTTTTTAAGCTGCATGTAAATTAAGAGATTTTTTGGGTGTTTTCTTTTCAAAGATTAAGGTAGCTTTGGCCATAGAAACCTGATAAGAAGGCTCTCTGAGACTGCCACAGGTCTCCTAATATTCTCATTCAAGAAATCTTTCAGGATTTGTTTCTATGACTGGCTCATATTGTGCTTTTGTAACATAAATTAATGAGCTATGCTAGAGTTTTTCTGATGGCACGTTATCTGTTTGTTCTGTATCTGTGTTTCTGACTTATGACACAAAAACATTCTACTGTATGCAGACAGCTTTTAAGTTGACTTCACTAGTTTTGTTGGATTCAAAACCAAGGACCTGTGATGGCCAATCTTAATTGTGTTGTCTTCATAAGTTAGGACCTGAATAGCCACTTAAATGGCTGTATTTGATAAACTGATGCTAATGTTGCTTGGAAGATACTAATTCTGACCCACATTAAAAGGTTACTCCTACATCTAAAGCATATAAAGGAATACACAGGAGAGAAAAAGAAATGTCAGACACCCACGCTTAAAAACCTGAAGTATTCAACAATAAATATTTTTTTCAAAACAAACTTTAGAGAATGTGCATGACCTGCCATAAGTCTTGGGGTTTTTTTATAGCGTTAATTAAGAATTTAATATTCAATTGCTTTATTTTCTGATAAAAATGACCTTTACAACCTTTTATATGTTTCATTGTTCTCTAGGGAGCCATGGCTGCTACATATTCTGCACTGAATCACAAGACATTTCAGCCAGTGTTAGAGCCTGTTGCAGCCTCAAGTTTAGCTCAGCGACGGAGCATGAAAAAGCTAACGTCAACAGACTTATAGATCCACTGGGACACCTTAGCAAACAGAAGCAAGGGGAAAATCCAATAAGTGGCTCTCTTTTGCCTGACCTGTGATCAAAAGGCATCTATGGTTTCCTGCTACACTACTTGAATTCTGTAAAAGTCCTTTTTTTAAAAAGAAAAAAAAAAAATCCACAGGTTCATACTGTGTTGTTTTACAGGCCGTATCTGTTAAATTAATTTAAACATCAGGTACACCATAATGAATTTCTCTACACTGTCCTTTAAGAGATCTGTTGCAAATATTCTTTCACATTCTGTATAGTTTTGCTGGGTTCATTTAAAAAATGGTTTAGGGGACCGTCACCAATGACCAAGTTGTACATAAAGTGTCAGTGTCAGTCATCTTTTCACACCTTTAGACCCTGCTGTGAAAGATAAATTCTTAATTTGTAATTGGGCACTTAATTCATTCAACTTAATTTATTTAACTTGTTCATTACTATTATGAAAAGCTGACTAATGTATTGTGCCAGTGTTAAATGCATTAGTGTTAATTTGGAAGGTCTATGTTTGCATGGTGCCAGTAACTGGTAAGTTTATGTGACAATACAAACAAAAGGGACGTGTAAGATTGTGCACTTTACCCGTAAACTTAATTAGATCACTTGTGACCCAAAAGAAATGCTGGTTAACAAATGGCGTCTTAGACAAAAATGAACATTTCTAGTTGGTGTGAATGTGTAGTGCGTCCTGCTCTGAGCTGGAGAAAGTAAGTATGTGTATAAACTGTCAAAATTCAGGATCTCAATAACATTGGTACCACTTAAGACAGCATCATGCAGTCCAATACTTTTTGCTACTTATATTGTCTGTCCATTAGTACAATGACTGTTATGGTTTCCTCAGCAGTTGTTTCCACTGAATATACCCCATATTTGGTTTGTTTGGCATATAAGACCAACTGACACTTTATAACAAACTTGGCATGTGGATTTTATTTTTTATTTATTTGATTTTTATAGAATGTTGCTTCTATTTGAATCTCTCACCGCATGTACAAATATTACAGGACATAAATACAAAGTTCTATTTGCCTAACTGTAGGGGTACCTTGGGAAAATAAATAAGCCTTGCGGTGTGCCCAGATAAGGGAATTCTGACCAAGAAATTTCGCAGTTATGGACAAGTTACTGATCATACCCTGTCGCCAGCACTCACTCGGCCTTTCTGTCATGATGTTAGGACTTCAGCTGTTTCTAAATGCTGTGATGGAGAGGAAATTAATTTCGGGACCAGAATTATCTTGGGGTTTTCTGACTCAAAACCAGTGCTAACTGCTGGTAAACTGGGATCTAATGCATTCAAAGATGATGAGCTTAAAAGAATTTTCAGAAGTTGTAGACACCACTGTGTAAATCTACTGTCATAGTAGGATGATATGCATTTTAAATATTAAGTGTATCAGTGACCAACAGTTAGACTGTGAACAATTAGAGAATCCAAATGACCAAAAATCAAATGTAGTTCAGACTGATTTGCCATCGTTGAATTTTGTGTTCCAGATACCTTCAGTAACCAATTACAAGACATCAGTGATGGCAGAACTTGGCATTTTCAGACAGGAAAAAAAGCCTTCAGGAGAATTCTGGCCGAACAGCCAAGAGTGGCAGTAGTAATTCTGATCTTAAAAGGCAAAGGGTGCTGGCTTACACCTGTGAAGTACTTGGTGGCATTGGAAGTACTGTTAGATAAGCTGCTTTCTTTTGTTGTGGTGAGGGAAGATGGAAATTATCTGGCCAAATAGTTAGGTACGAATATATGTAGATTTGAGACTTAATGAATATAGCAAACATAGGTGTGCTATTTGTATCATGCAGAACATACCCCATACTAAATTTCTTGAGTGTTTGATAGATGTTGGAAGCTTTAGGGGCCATTTGTGCCTAGTTTTGAGGTGTCTGTTTGAAATGCTTGAAAGCTTATCAAAGAACATAACTGCTTCCCGGAAAGCTTATTGTGTAGTACAAAATCTGACCCTTATGCAGGCGGTTCATCCATCTTTTCATTACTGAAGACCTTTGCTGGCAAGAATGCCTGTAAACCTCTTATCTGCCTACAGTCTGTCTGTGTAATTTTTTTGTAGATTTACAAATGACTGCCAGAAGAATTTGCATTCACTCTAAGGAAAAAAAACAAAACAAAACAAAACCAAAACAACAAAAACAAAACACAAAATAAAGAAACAAACAAAACCACCAAAGTGGTGGAAATAGAAGCCCCCTTACCCAAAGTCAAGGTATAATGTGGGTCAAAACTTAGTAGTAAAAACTGTGTTGGGGATAGAGGGTAATGCAAGGTGTGGAACTAAAATGTCAAACTTGAATTGTCTTCAGCTTTCCCGTAAGGTAGCAGCTGGTCTTTAATGGCTTTATTCATGAATCATTTAACAGTGTTTATATTGGAATTTATTTTAGCTTTCTTAGAAGCACCACATTATAAGCACCTTAAAAGCATTTTGCACAAAAGCAGTTGTAAGCAGCTGAAGGTACTTAAATTCTTCTTGGTGTGCAGCACAAAGGTGGTAAGAGGAAAAGTACACAAACAAGATGGATATTCTGATTCTTAGCAAAGAATTTAAAACATCTTCTATAAAGTTATCCCTGATGTTTTTATATCATTACCAGCCTTTTGCACAAGTGGTACTCCTGGGGTAAAAGCAAGGTTTCAGTGACTGCAACTTTACAAAGTTGTCTTATCACAAGGAAAACATATGGACAAACACCTCTGTTATATCTGACAGGCCAGTATGTCCTGGTATGCCAATTTTAATCCTTAATTTGGGAGGAAAAGTTCACTTGCTGTGAATATTTCAGCATATCAGTCTTTGAGACATTTTGGATATGCAGGGATACAAAAGAGTTCACTGGCAATTTATGGTTATTATATAGTATTTAGTGATCATCATCTTTGTGATACTTCTTTTGGAATTTCTTACATACTTATCACACTTTTTTTTTTTTCCAAACTTAGGTTTTGTTCAATTAAGCAATTATATAGTAAGTAGCATGGTCTGCTCATGAGTAATCAGTTAAATGTGTGAAGTGGAAGAACACCTAATTTGAACGTGCTCTTGGCTGGAGTGAAAGGTTAGTGTAAATTGTTTCACTTGCATATCATCTCTGTACAGTTCACGATTGCAAACTAGTTACGATCTTACTGATTTACTTTTTATTTAAAGTGAAATTTTTACAAAGGCTTACAATTACAAAGAAATAGGCATACATAGTATGTATTTAGAGGAATTTCCAGAGAACTGATTAATATCTTAAATGATACGATACTTCTGATATGGCTTCTGTTACTGCCAGCAAAATAGCTTCTACTCTGATGTTTGGTAATGGCAATTATAAGTAAGTGCTAATTCTCAAGTGCACATAGTCTGATACATCCTCACTAAAGAGTAAATTCCCCCAGACATCAGCTGTAGCTGGAGCAGACTCATGACATGTTTTGCTGTTCTTTCACCCCTTGGATATCGCAGTTTCTATCTTCAGTTATCCTTTTGATAAAAAGTGAGGAACTCTATTGTATTCCTGTAATGTATCCAGAAACTATGCAGTGGCATCAATATCAGCCAGTGGTGCGTAACGAAGAGTACCCATACTGCAGGCGTGACTGTGGGTGGATTCATTTAAGCCGCTGTTTTGTGGCTTGTGTAGTCTCAATGTGGTTGTTAGTGTGTTGTGCGGTTTTTCCCATTATGCTTAAAACTAGTAAATTCTTTGACCACGCAAAAAACCGAAGGTGTAGGTGGTCTAAGTGAACTGTCCATTTGAGGCCTGTGTTGTAGTATGGTTTAAATGTTCTCCTTGCATCCAGAGAAGACATCCAAAACCTCACCCAAGTCAGTCATATTGAGCTTGAATTCTGTCTTCCATGTTTAGTTCATTTTCCAAAGCTGATCTTTTTATGTCCAATAGTTAAAATTACCTCTAGCAAACTTCCAACAATTGGAAGTTATTTGCAGTATACTTATAAACTGGTCGTTTGCAGTGACAGATTGCAGCATCCAGTGCTCTGCTCTCGACCGTCACATATTAAAATTAAAAAGTTGGAATAGCTTGTAAGAATAGAGTTAAATGAATTATACAATACTGTAGTAGTTATCCTGATTTGTATCAATGAAATTAGGCTAAAACATCAATGGAAACATGGGATTTCGTGTACTTCTGTAGCACTTAAGTTTTTCAGTCCCATCCAGAATTAGAAGTTTGCAAATATTTGTGGGAGGGAAGGGAGGAGCAGGTTTTTCTTAATTTTCAGAAGGCTTCTGAAGCCATGATAATAGGGTCCTTATGTAATCCTATGGGTTCTCTATATGATTAAACAAAAAAAAAAACAAAACCCAAACAAACAAAAAAACAAACAACACTTTCTTAGGTATGTATTGATACCTGTTGCTAACATGCTTACACTGTCATTCATACTGTACCATCCTTCTGCATTAACACCCCTTTAGTTAAGTATGTTCTGAATACTGCTTGCCCCTACTTTGTCAGTTTTTTTTTTTTTAATGTTTACTGCCCCAAATCATGTTGTTGTTGATAAGCCTGCATTTTCCTTTGGGAACAGAAGAATGAGTACAAACTTTAAAAAAACCTCACCCTTAGTGTATAGCTAAAGCTGACTTAAAGTTATTATAACACTCGTAATTAGAAGTCTCCCCCAAAATAACCGGTGACTGGTTTTCTTGACATTTTTTTCCCATGTAATGAAAGCAGACTTTCCTTGAAAGCTTTACAAGACATTTAATTGATTATGTCTCTTAATAATTAGGATTTGGGCAATAGCTTATTACCAATAGTGAGTTTGAATAACATTGAATCCTGGTTTTGGGGTTTTTTTGTGAGAACTGAAAAGATGCTCAAGGTGGATCTCCTTTGCAGGACAAAGTGTTCCTATTTTGTGTGTTTCGCATGAGGCTTCTGAGCAGGGTTTGCTAAGTAATTGCATTGTTATAATATCCCAAGCACTTTGGCATCTTGCACTGATACTCTGATTAGAGCTAAAACTCTTCTGGCACGTGACTGGCTATAAATCTCAATATACGAAAGGGCATTAATGGAAAACAGTGTGCAATGAATTACATGCTCTCTGAGGTACTTCAAAGATGAAACTCTACAAAA